TTTTTTTTTTTTAATTTTTGTTTTGTTTTGTTTTGTTTTGAAACAGAGTGTCTCTCTATTGCCAGGCTGGAGTGCAGGAATGCAGTGGTGCAGTCTTGGTGCGCTGTAACCTCCACCTCCCGGGTTCAAGCCATTCCCCAGCCTCAGCCTCCTGAGTAGCTGGGATTACAGGCACCCACCACCACGCCCAGCTAATTTTTGTATTTTTAGTAGAGATGGGGTTTCACCATGTTGGTCAGGCCCGTCTTGAACTCCAGACCTTGTGATCCACCTGCTTTGGCCTCCCAAAGTGCTGAGATTACAGGCGTGAGCCACCGCACCCGGCCAGGAATTATTTTTTTTCTAAGGTGAATGAACGTTAAGAAAATTACTGGTGGAGGAAAGGGTAGTAAAAAAAAATAAATAAAAATGGCCCGGGTGCAGTGGCTAATGCTTGTAACCCCAGCACTTTGGGAGGCTTAGGCGGGTGGGTCATGAGGTCAGGAGACTGAGACAATCCTGGTTAACATGGTGAAACCCCGTCTCTACTAAAAATATAAAAAATTAGCTGGGGTGGCGGCATGTGCCTGTAATCCCAGCTACTTGGGAGGCTGAAGCAGGAGAATCGCTTGAACCTGGGAGGTGGAGGTTGCAGTGAGCTGAGATCGCACCACTCCACTCCAGCCTGCATGATAGATCAAGACTTTGTCTCAAATGAATGAATGAATATTATTTCACATAAGACTGCCCAAATGGGAATGGGGCCAGTATTGGATCAAGGACAGTTTGGGTCCCTCCGCTGGAGGAGTAACATGCTACTTTATTTGCAGGTCCAGGGCTGGGGAAGAGTATCTCCAGCTGCCTGCATCTGGCCGAGAAAGAAACCAAAAAAGGCGAGGGTAGGGGAAGATGCCTGCAGCGACTGCTTAGTGTGTGTTAACCTCTCCCACGGGAGCCTCGAGACCAAGCCTCCTACTGAGGGGGGCCCAGAGAAGGATCAGAGCAGCCCCTCTCAGACTCAGGCAGCCCCCCAGGGCCCTAACACTGCTTCCAGGGAGATTAGCAACATCTGCTTTCCCACCGACTTTCAAGCAGAAAAAAAAAGTCTGCAAATCAAGGAGTTTATTTGGTGCACCAAAGATTGGGCCATCTCCGACACTAATAGGGGCAAGGCCCTTGGGAACCCCAGTGGAGGCACCAACAGAGGGCTGTCAGTCCCAGGCCCCGTGACGTCCAAGGCCCTCCTGGTTCTGCCTCCCCTGAAGTCTTCACTTTCAAATGGCTTGGATGTTCCGGGTAAGAAGAATAAGAACTGTTTCTTACCGTCGGAAGAGAAAGTGCTGAGTGTGGAAAAGGATGGGTGTGTGTCTTGTGCATATGGCTTCAAAACTGCAGATGGGAAAGGTGAAAAGAGACCCAGTGAGCTGGCCAAACACCCCACAGTCAGCGACATGCCATCCTTCCCTTCCCAAGCAGCCAGGACATCACTGGCTCATCCGGAGCAGTGCTGCCTGCACTGGTCCCTCCTGTCTGAGAAAAACCTGCTGTGCCCTCCAGACCCCAGCAACGTTCGCTATCTTGCTGCCTTGCAGTTTCTGCAGAAACAGGGAGTGCAAAACCACAAATCCAAATTCATAGCCAAGGAGCCAAGACCTCGCGTGATCTCCCCAAAGCACGTTCTCCCAAAGGCCAAGCAGGAAAACAGGCCCCAAATGCTAGAGACCAAAGTTTTCTCAAGACCCCTCTTGCCGTCCCTCACAGTGAGCAGAGTTGTCATTCCCATCTCCACCCACAGGATCCTCTGAGCGGTCACGGTAGAACCCCTGGGAGTAAGCACTGCTTGAGATGCAGTCATCCTTTCTCTTTCTTCTCTCTCATCCCCTGCCCCCCACACTCTTTCTCTCCTCCTCCTCAGTCTGTCTTTCTTATTCTTTTCTTCCCCTTCTTTATTTCATCCATTTTTTTTGGTAGTAGAACCAAAGAAAATTGAACCTCAGTGGATGGGTTTGGATTTATTTTCTAAAACACTATAATGTGTTACCTGCTTCTGTTACTTAGCCATTCACAAAATGCTGATTGGTCATGCCAGCCCTGGTCTCTGCCTGCCTCGTGTCCACTCCGAGGAGAAGCCACATAGAAGGTGGGGAATCCAAAGGGCCTCCCTCCTTCCATGCTGGCCCCAGGCCACCCCAGAGCTATCTAGCAGGTGCTCTTTCTGCACCACCCCCATACCTCAATCTAAGAACACTGGGCTAGTTTAGACCAAACTTCCTGTTGATCTTGAAGGAGGCAGGTATCTGTCTGCTGCCTCGTCTGCTCTTGCAACGATCTGAAGAACTGCTTTAATAGAAATCTCCAGCCTGTCCAGGATGTCCAAGGCATCACAGACCCTGTGTGTCCAGGGTGTCACGCCCTCAGATTGTTTCCATGGATATACACTGTCCATCACCTCCTTTGTGTTCAGGATGCTATATCCTCAGATTGCACCCTCATGTTAATCTCTGTCTGGAAATTTTAGCCACAGTGCTACAAAACCCAGCCTGGGAAGCAGGTTAAGAATAATTACTTTATGGGAAAAAAAATAAAAAGATCACTGTGATTATCACCCCATATGCCTCCTCTGGCCTTACTTTGCATCTAATATTTGGAAACCCTCAACCTCAGGCACTAATGGAAAGGGGCTGTTACTTTCTCCCTCTGTCCTTCCTATACTCTCATTTTACCCCAACTCTTATTCCCGCAGTTGTAGCTAAGTTAAATGACATTTGTAAATGAGTTATATTTTAAATGCCGAGTGATGTTGCTTTGTAGACACATGCTCCGATGAACTGTTTTGTGATATGAGTAATCATTAAGCTGCTTTGTAATTATGTAGTTTGAATTTGCTTAAGGTAAGTTGGACTTGAACTCTTGGTTCAAGTTGGATTTTCCTGTCTCCTAAATGGTGGAGTAGACAGAATATATGACTGTATGCGTAAATATCTTTTTCCATATTGGTCTTTGTAATGTCTTGTCTGTTTGCCTAGGGTTTTTTTGTTTGTTTGTTTGTTTGTTTGTTTTTTGAGACGGAGCCTCACTCTGTTACCCAGGCTGGAGTTCAGTGGCATGATCTTGGCTCAGTGTAACGTCCACCTCCTGGGTTCAAGCGATTCTCATGCTCCAGCCTCTCAAGTAGCTGATACTACACGTGCCCGCTACCACACCCAACTCATTTTTGTATTATTAGTAGAGACTGGGTTTCACCATGTTGGCCAGGCTGGTCTTGAACTCCTAACGTCAGGTGATCTTCCCGCCTCGGCCTCCTAAAGTGCTGGGATTACAGGTGTGAGCTACTGTACCCGGCCTTAGTCTGTTATCCTAATTTTTTTGTTTTGTTTTGTTGGTTTGTTTTTAAGATAAAAACACCAGAAATGTTGGATGAGTATAATACCACAGTCATTAGAACGTATATTTGCCTACTGACATTGGTTACTTCTTACAGTCTAGTAGCAGTTATTAGGGTTTTCCTCTGCTTCCCTGAATAAAGAAACCATCTGGATTCTGTCTCTGGGAGGAAACCGAGTCTCCCTCTGTTTCTGGACAGTGAGGTGTTGGGCCCGGTACTGTTTGAGGACTTCCAGCTCTGCAGCCTGTCCACCTAAGTCAGTGGTTTTTCAGGCCCTTTTAAGCAGCAGAATAATGAATAAGCTCAATGTGTAAAACAGTCCAGAGTGTGTGTTTGGAAGGAGAACCAGGGAGGGACCAGGCCCCGCCTACTCAGCCAGATGTGCTTACCTTTTGAGATCTCTGGGCAGCTGGAAACACTTTTCAAAGTTACAATGCAGTTGTTAAGAAAGTGTTTTGTTCAGGTAAGAGTTGTAAATTCTACAGATTTTGGTGTAAACATCTAATAATTTAGAATCAAAAGGAAGGCTAGTCTGAACAAAGAAAGGGCCCACATTTATTAAGATTTCTGATATTCTTTTTGAGCAAATAATTAATTTGGCTAACAAAATATTGACTAGAAGATTCCTCAGTGAATAGATTAAGAATGTTTTACATTTGGCATCTCTTTGTGTAGGCAGTTATTCCAATACCTGTAAAATTCCTCTGGAATCTTATTTGCTTTATCCTGGGTTTCTCTTGTTCCTCTGTGGATGAAGTCACTCTGGGCTTTATCCAAATTTTCATTTAGATTAGCTTGTGACATCCAAGATAGTCCTTTGCTGTCCAAGTCTAGATAAAGGCTGAATATTTAATAAAGTGCATTTTCCCATTAGGATTCTGAGTCACTAACAAAATCAGAGATGCTGTTTTATAAGTAAAGCATGTTGTGGCCAGGTGCAGTGGCTCATGCCTGTAATGTCAGCACTTTGGGAGGCCAACGTGTGTCGATCACTTGAGACCAGGAGTTCGAAACCAGCCTGGCAAACATGGCTTAACATTGTCTCTACTAAAAATACAAAAATCAGCCGGGCATGGTGGTACACACCTGTAATCCCAGCTACTCGGGAGGCTGAGGCATGAGGATCTCTTGAACCCAGGAGGCAAAGGTTGCAGTGAGCTGAGATCACCCCATTGCACTCCAGCCTGGGCGACAGAGTGAGACTCTGTCAAAAAAAAAAAAAAAAAAAAGCATTTGTAATGTAGGTGCTAACAGCCTCTTCCTACCTGAATGTGATGATCTCATGTTCCTCTAGCTCCTCCAATAGCCCCTGCAAACCAAGCTCAGAGAGCCCTGGGTTTCATTCATCATTTTATTATTTTTGGAATTCAATTAGAAAACCTTCACAAACTCCTGTTTTTCTTGAAACCTTAAAAATCACCAAGTGGTGTTCTGGCAGCACCAGACACAGGACTCCCACAGGGCTGGATCCGCCACTGGGCAAAGCTGGGGCTGAAGCCTCGGGAGGCTGCCAAAGTTAATAAGCCCCCTATGTAAGAACCCCCTCACTCCCACAGACAGAATGTGGATCTTACCTAAACATGCAGGGTGTCATTTTTTATTTTTTGAGTTGGAGTTTTCCTTGTTGCCCAGACTAGAGTGCAATGGCGTGATCTCAGCTCACGGCAACTTCCGCCTCCCAGGTTCAAGTAAGTCTCCTGCCTCAGCCTCCCGAGTAGCTGGGATCACAGGCGCCCGCCACCACACCCAGCTAATTTTTGTGTTTCTGTCTTTGTCGGGGTTTCGCTATGTTGCCCAGGCTGGAGTGCAGTGGCTATTCACAGGCAAGATCCCACTACTGATCAGCACGGGAGTTTTGACCTGCTATGTTTCCTACGTAGGCCAGTTCACCCCTCCTTAGGCAACCTGGTGGTCCCCTGCTCCCGGAAGGTCACCGTATTGATGCCAAACTTAGTGTGGACACCCAATCGACATAGCACACTACAGCCCAGAACTCCTGGGCTCAAGCAGTCCTCTCAGCTCAGCCTCCCGAGTAGCTGGGACTACAGGCACACGCCACTGCGCCTGGCAATTTTTGTTTTTAGTAGAGACAGGTTTTCACCACGTTGGTCAGACTGGTCTTGAACTCTTGACCTCAGGTGATCCACCTGCCTTGGCCTCCCAAAGTGCTGGGATTACAGGCATGAGCCACCCCGCCAAGGCCAAGGGGAGCCATTTTTGGAAAGCAAGGGGAAGACTTTAAATTAGAAAAAGGCCTGGCTTTCTTTAGACAAGTTCACAAGCCTTTGACTACTCTGGAAGACTTTCCTTAGCTTTTCATTTTATTTTTACTTTGAATTTTGCCCCCGTTGTGAAATTTACCTATACTTCTAAGACCGTGCTCTACAATGATATGAACCCAGAATCAGATTTGTTTTCAGCCTCTCCCTGTAAGCTCAGGAGCTTCAGCACCTGGAGAGACCACAGAAGCCCCTGCTCATCTCACAGTGGGTGTCCCCAGCTGGTTAAACAGGCACAGCTGCACAGCTGCACATCGGCAGGCCTCCCATCTGGAGCTTTTCAGGGTGTCTGGGCTTCAGTCCAATGCAACTTTGGTGCTGCAGTTTAAGGGCTATTGATAAGTGAGCCAGGGAAGACAGAAACAGGGAGGCTTCTTGACTGATGGGTAACAGGGGCTGTCCCTGGTACCACAGAACACTCTTTTGCTGTCTGCCAGGCAAACTGGAACCGCTGGAGCCAGGAGCAATTCAGTGCTGAGCTGTTAATTACCAAGCTAACTTCAGCTCCTGAGTTCTAATAGGCAGTGATGTGCTGCAGTCATTGCCTTTGAATTTACAAGGCACCATTCTTTCTATGAATCCAAGGCCTCTTCCCAGACATTATCTCTTTTATTTATTTTATTTTTTTGAGACGGAGTTTCGCTCCTGTTTCCTGGGCTGGAGTGCAATGGTGTGATCTTGGCTTATGGCAACCTTTGCCTCTCAGGTTCAAGGGTTCAAGCAGTTCTCCTGCCTCAGCCTCCTGAGTCGCTGGAATTACAGGCACGCGCCACGACACCCGGCTAATTTTTGTAATTTTTTAGTAGACATAGGGTTTCACCATGTTGTTCATGCTGGTCTCAAACTGCTGACCTTGTGATCCACCCGCCTCGGCTTACCAAAGTGTTGGGATTACAGGCTGAGCCACTGCGCCCGGCCAACATTATCTCTTTTAATCCTGCATGTATGCATGGGAATCAGGAATCATTTTCCTCCGCTGACCCAAGGGGAAATTGAGGGGTTGGGTTTGGTCAGGCCAGCATTAAGGTTTGTAGCCTGGGTTTCTGAAGTTCTGAGTTTCAACTCTATTTCACAGGTAGGGGACATTTGAAGTACTGGGTGCAAAATATCACATAAGGCAGGAAGGAGGGCTCAAGAATGTCATTTCTTCCTGTAAGGTGGGAACAATTTTCAGACACAGGATGTGGTCAAGATGACCAAGTAATGTATGTTGAACTCCAACAGAGATCTGTGTTCTTCCTGAGTGTATGGAGCGGATCATATGTAACAAGCTGGATAAGCGCTCTCTAATGAATGACGTGAATGACTGGCTGTTCAAAATCATTTAGAAGCCCTTTGGCCTGCGAACCGGTATTTGGATATTGGATGTTGGGTCTTTACTCTGTCATAGGTTCTCAGAACTACCTTTGCAACTTGTCAACTAAGGTGCTTCTTGTCTGGTCCAATTCATGAGCCATTTTAATTCCCTGGCCTTTTCCTCATCTGGTTTTGCCTGTATTTCTACGGGACCAATCTAAACACCATCACAGTGCAGATTAAGCCATGCCTCTTGTACTGATTTTTGTGTGTACTGAGGTGTTTAGAAAAAACCTTCAGTCTCCCAGATCAAAAGCATTTGTATCTTTTCGTGAATGACCTGAATGACTGGCTGTTCACGGCGTGTCTCAGGATCACTCATGTTCATTGCAAGTAAAAATAAAAACCATCTGCCTTTTTCCTAGAAGCTGAGAACCATTAGGATGTATATTTTTTAATACCCCAGCTTTGCTACTGAGCATTTCTGCCTTTGCCTATAAAATAATGGAGTAATGTCTGCAGTTTTTCCTAGTTCTGTCATTTTAATGCATTTAATGCATTTAACTTGCCTGTGAACATTATTATTATGGAGACTCAAAATGGTGAACAGTTC